TGCCGAGAGTCAGGGTAGACAGAGCACAGTATTGCTATCTTTGCAAGACTTAACTTTAAGGAATCTAGTATGTTGTTCTTATAATACCAAGAACTGAAACTTTAAGTCAATGCAAAAAAAATATAAAATGTTCAGTCAATCCCACATAGTGACTTTAATAGCTGCCCTTAAGAGAAAATTCTCCAGCATCTTCTCAAAGAAGCAAAGCACAGAGCAAATTAAGCATAAATTTTTGTACATGCCATTTTACACACACACACACACACACTCTCTCTCTCTCTCTCTCGCATTATGCCCTGGGCCTAGGGAACACACTTTCTTTGATCTCCACTAGGTAAAGTACATCTGACTTAAATTCCCCTTCCTCCATTATAGGTCCTACTGCCTAGGGAATAACATGAGCACCCTCTTGTGGTGAGCAATTTAACACCTGCAAACATGAACTGCTAAACAAAAAGAGTATACAGCCCAATGGATGAAGCAGGTGATCTGTGGTACAAAGGTTCCTGGTTCAAACCCTTTTAGGGTTCATTTTTATTTCAAGTGCCTCAATCTTTTCTTCTGAAGACTGAATGGGATCAAGACAGCTTTGGCCCTCTTTAATACTGTCTAGTAAACTAATAAATACTTTAACTCTTACTTAAAGAATCAGCTAATATTGGTTGATGAAATCTTACAAAAGTCTGCAAAGCCCACATGACACCAGGGTGGTCTCACTACCATCCACATAGTATCCTTTACCATAAAAAAAATGAAGATATGACGCAGGGCCATGATAACTGCCCGTGACAAAAGATGGAATCTGGAGTAAGGGCCTAGCCTCTGCTGATTCACAGAAATCTGCTGTCTTGCTCTCCAAGGCATTAATCTCATTGTGATCTTCTGCATGTCAGAGTGCCCAGCAAAGAGAACATAAGGAGAAGAGACATAGGAGCCATCAGAGTTAAAGTCACAGATGAAAATCCCATGTAGTAATCAATAAAGTCGACTGGTGGCTCCTGCGAATTCTCCTGCAGAAAGCCATGAAGCCAACTTGATTCCATTGGTGTCTATGAACAACTAGTGAATAAAGGTCCTGTGTTGTTTGTATTAATGCACAGCGAGCTGGTACATAATTTTTTTAAAAATCAAACATTACAGAACACAGCCACGAGCACTATAAACCGCAGCAGTCTGCAATTCCCTGATTTGTTTCTGCAGTCGAGAGATGCACTTGTCAAGGTGAACAATAACCAAATGTCTCTGCAAAATACAAGGAACCTTCTTACATAACTGCTGCTCCACACCATCTGCCCCATCAGAAGCAAAGGCAACTCCTGGTACACACAAGTATGCGAGTGTCTGTCCTTGTAAACTATTCTGATGCTTTTGTGAGACCTCATAATTTAAGGTTTCAGAGTAACAGCCGTGTTAGTCCATATTCGCAAAAAGAAAAGGAGTACTTGTGGCACCTTAGAGACTAACCAATTTATCTGAGCATAAGCTTTCGTGAGCTACAGCTCAATGCATCTGATGAAGTGAGCTGTAGCTCACGAAAGCTTATGCTCAAATAAATTGGTTAGTCTCTAAGGTGCCACAAGTACTCCTTTTCTTTTCTCATAATTTAAGTTCATTTATTGCTGAATTTCTATGCTGTGCTTTAGGATCACTTGGTTATTTGGTATCTGATACAATATTTTGAGTCTCCTCATGACCACATCATCAATCATCATGTTCCTGTTGCACCTCTGGCGTTTAGGGCAGTGACAAAGCTCTTCCACTCCTGTCTGCTTCTGGCAAGTTTTTCAATGGTTCCCTATGACCACATTTTAAAGCATTTTATTGAAAGATTTAGTCAGATGAGCTTCTAGGTATAAGAGGCAAAAGAAAAGAAGTCGAGGGGGAGAAGGTCATCACATGTGGCAGAACAAATGATTCTCTCTGGCAAGAGATTTTAATTTCCCAATGGACTTTACCTGAACCCATTCTATAGTGTGCAGGGCTATTTTTAAGCTCTCCAAGCCCCAAAAGAACCTGCTCACCACACAGATTTAAATTCTTACACCCTTAAACTAGAGAAAGACAGGAAAGGGGGGGAGGAGAGAATCAAGTTTGCATGAAAGGCTTTTTTCCTTAAGCCACTAGATCTTAATGTTCTCTCTCGTGTGTGTGTGTGTGTGTGTGTTCTCTCGTGTGTGTGTGTGTGTATATACACACATACACACTTTTTTTTAGTGTCCTGGTGAAAAGACAGTACATTAGCAGTGCATTCTTATATGTCAACAGCCCAGCTGCTGGAGGATTACGTCAGAATGTAGAAGTCACAAGAACCCCTTAAACACTCATCCTGAGATCACAGGTTTTACATCTTTTAATTTGATCATGAGATCAAGGGTTGAAAACATTTTAAAATAGGTAGAGCCACAAAGATTGGTTTACTATGAAATACAAGTAAATACAAGTTATACATGAGAAGTGTATGTCCCAGTGTATAAGTATCATTTAGATTTTTCCTTTTTAAATTGTCAAGATGTTGTTGCTCAAATATGAAGTTCATTAAAACTGGTGTAGGTTAATGAGGTCACATTGCTGGTGCCTCACAAGTTGAGTTGTGATTAGACAACCGCTTGTAATGAGAAGTGCTTTCAGAAGGAATGCTGTGAATACCCACTATGTAAAAATGGTTTTGCTTTTACTCCACAAATCTGTACCTTACATGTCATCAGTTGATAGCTGCTTGCTTTCCTTTGGTCCTCTCAGCAAGTCTGATTCCATTCTGGCTTGCACATGTTCAGATTTAACTTGTCAGTTGCTCAGTACCAAAGCCTATTACGTTCATATCTCCAATGCCATCGTTTTTCTATGCGGTTTCCCTCTTTTTTTTTTTTTTTTTTTTTTTTTGAGGTTATTGCTGATGGCCATCCAGGCTGAATGTGCGTCACAGTGTTCAGTTCCTGAAGGGAACCATGCAGCTCAGTCCACAGGGCCTGCCAAAAAAAAGGCATGCTACCCCTGCAAATGGCCCTTCCTTGCCTTCCCCTTTGTCCCCTCCCTCTAAGATTCCACAGAGCAACCCTGTTTTCCCACCTTCAGGGTCTTCAGTGCTCGAATCTCCTGTGCTTTTATTATTAGGTCAATTCAGGAGTGACTTCCTAAAAGTGAGGGGGGGGGGGAGGAGAGGCCTCCCTGCCTCAACCACACTGGAAGCAGCAGGGAGCTCAGACCCCTCAACCTGCATGGGGAGAGGGTCCTCCTAAGAACAGCACCTGGCCTGTGTCCCCTCCCACAGGTCCTGCACAGAATAGGTGGAGGGTCCCTGGCTCCCCACTTGACTCTTACCCCAACCCGGCTTCCAGCCAGGCCACAGAGCTGCAGCCTCGCCCATGGTAACAGCCTCCCAGGCAGCTGTGGGGAGCTGTGACCCTCCATCTGTCCTGGGCAAGAGGTTCGAGGGTGGGGACCACAGGCTGGGAGCTGCTCTCTGCCCCCCCCGCCCCCCCCCAGGCAGGTGGAGGGCCCAGAGCTCCCTGGGCTCCCCATGCCGCTCTTACCCTGGCCAGGCTCCAACTTCGAGCCTGGCCGGGGGGGGGGGGGGGGAGGAGGAGGAGCAGGGGGCTGGGCCCGTGGCAAAATGTGGATGGGCCAGGCCTGTCCACTTTCAAAAGTGGGAGGACCATGGCCTGTTGTCCCACCTCCGGGTCAATTTACTGTTGTGGGTTTTGGAAAGGTCTTTAGGGCAACTAAATACAAGCGTTCCCCCCTATCTAGATTAAGGCCAAAATGTTCCCACTTGGGACCTAAAGTTAGGCACACACATTTTCCTCAAATGTGGGTGCCTATTTATCTCAAGAATAATCTCTCCAGCCAACATTTTCATACCCCTGCTGGATCCCTGGATGCAATATTTCATAACATTACCAAACAGGATTTTATTGTAAAAGATATTCAGCAACAAAAGCAGACAGTAACTTCAATGTAACCCAGAACATGAATGCATTTTCTCTCTCACACACACACAAACACACAGTAGTATTTCCTGCATTTCCTTGATACACTTATTTGGACGCTGAAAATTGTTTTGGTCCATTCAATTTAAAACATCTCTACATACACAAGAAACAATATCTGAGGAGCCATGCTCAGAACAAAGCCATACAAGGAGTAGTAGATGGCTTTTGCAGGTGGTTTAGCAAACCTAAATCAAGCTCAGAGAATCCTCCCACGCAATAAGCCTTATTCCGGTTCTGACAGGACAAAAAAAGAAGTGGCAAACCGCACCCTAAACAAAACCCAAATGCTGTTTCTTGTGAGCATAAGGAAATATTGTGGTGCTACCATCTCAGGCTTTCCATGACGTCGCTATGTAGGGACAGGGGAACTCAGATGAATACTTCTTTGACAATGTATCTGTTGTTCATTTGTTGAATAAACAGGGTTGCCTATGTGGAAAAGGAGTGATGTGATCCACCTCTTTTCATGCAAATGAATGAAGAGTTGTTAAGAAGTGTCACATGCTTTTTTTGTTCCATCTGTCTCAAAACAAACTAACACTGAGCCAAGAATTATGTTTTGAGATGTGGGTAAAATAAAAGCATGATTTGTCATTCTGACGTATGTAAGGTTATAAATTAGGATTAACTAATGTTTGTGTAAAGTATCTATCAGTAGCCTGATTTAACAACTGAATTGCAGCTTTAGATCCATATCCTGCAAAATGCTCCGGGGCAAGCTGACCCACACTCCAGTGAACTGCAATGAGCTCAAGTTCCTCATGGGACAGCTCCTAGGTCTTGGCTATTAGCATGTTACATTCAATACAACCTGAGTGCAGAGCGTTAATATAAATTGGTATAATATTGCAAAACAAACAGCACAGAATAGGTGAATATATCCAGTACCAGTGGGAAACAGCAGGGAAAACTACTTTAAATGTGAAAATAGTCACAGTAAGGACACTGACCATATTTGGGGAAAGAAGAGTTATCTGAAACACTACAGAAAATTAAACTTACCCAACCACATGTTAAAAAGAAGATTTTATTAATTAGGGTGGCGTTGCTTATGCTGATGTAGCAAGCTTTGAAAATAAGTCTTATGGAAGAAATAAACAGTCAAATTGCAAAATGGAAAGCAGAATCTTCTATTTGGATTACAATACAAAAAATTTTCAATACTCGCATAAAACGGCTTTTCTGCTTTCCACAGAAGTCACCTCTACTGATGCTTTTTGGCACTGTGGGGTATTGCTATTGTCATCAAGCTTTGGTTTTCTTGAGTTAAGATAACCTATGCCTACAGATTGTGTATTACATGTGCTACCACCATAAATCCAGAGTGTAAAGTACATAAAATAGTTTCAGCTCTTTACCTCCATTATTCTGTTGTCAGGTAGCTGCTACTACGGTAAATTCTTGTGGTGCAGCTAACTATCAGACCTGAAACTTTTTCTAAACATAGAGGGAGCTCTTAAAACCACTTGCAAATTGAACCACAAAAAGAAATAAAAGTCAGCTATATATCTGTAGTACAATAGCCACTGAATTTCAATGTTAAAAGTTGTAATGTTTTGGGGGAAAGTTACCCCATTCCAAATATTTAGAGAGAGACTTTTTTTTAAAAAGAATTATAGTTGCAATATTTATTGTTTACACAGGTTAATACAACTTTACAATCATAGCTCATATTTAAACTCAACTTCTAATGTTGCATTTTTAGACAGAAGTTGTGTTCAACCAAATCGCAGCAAACACGTTTGAACCTTCAGTGGTGGAATTATGCTTTACTTTACACAAGGAGCAGCGTTAGGCTGCAGTTTCTATCAGACAGCTCTACCCCAATCATGAGAAGTGCTTCAACCTTCAGAGACTCAAACCTCAATTCCTGTGATCAGACTCTGGAAATTCTACCCATATTTCATTTTGGAAACGTCTCTTTCATTTGAAATATCACTATACAAGTCTTACCCACCTAGCACTCACTCAGTGAAACTTCTTAACAAAAGAAGTTACCTTCTCAATGAAACAATGTGATTATCAGATTACACCAATAGCAAGTAAAAAGATATTTTGTTTTGATTTTTTAAAAAAAACATTTATACAGATGGAACCCAAGCTTTATCAAACTAAAAGGCCCAAGGGGTTTTTTTTTTTTAGAATTTACCATTTGGCTCATGTAATTATATTATAGGAAAGACAACACTGATAGCCATGGGTCTATCAGCATTTCTATTAGAAAGCTATTTTCACAGATTTATAACTCAGCAGTAAAAAAAAAAAAAAAAAATACACACATACATTTATAAAACAATCCTGCACAAAACACACTCTGTGCAGTGCTAAAGGTCTGACTGAACTCACAAACAGCAAGGAAACTGGGAGACCATGTTGAGAAGCCATCTGACATGGTAGCCTGAGCGGGCTGGATTTGGTAAAGCAGCCTACGGGAAAAGCCAAACTTCAGGCTATTTTTGGTTCTGTTTCTTTTAAAGACAATTTTAAAAACAAATTTAAAGTGAATTTTAGTGCACGTAAAAGGTGCCAGATTGACTACTCTGGAGACAAGAGTCCTTTTTAGCCCCAGAATAGGACCATCATAGGCAGTCCCCTGCCAACCAGCTTCAATGCTTTTCCAGAGGCACCACTTGTAGGCGTGAGAAGGTAAGTTTGTCTGCATGCCAGTTCAGAGCTTGGTCTCTGTGATGCAGGTGCTAATCCACACGGGGGGCTTTCTAATATTAACCAGACCCACACCATCATCTATTTTGCATAAACCATACAGAGACAACATTTGGTCACTATCAGCTTGAATAAGTGGCCTGTGAAGTGACAGACTATATATCCCGTTACCAGTCCTGAGTCTCCCTAAGCAGATTCTTATTAAAACAATATAGAGATATATATCTTGATCCATTCACAATGACAATGCACAGAGATCTTCATGAAGTTCAGAAAGAGCTTGAAAAGGTGCTGAACAATCTTGGACATCCATCTTCACTCAGTATTTGATATTGCCTACAAACGCTTGTAGGTACCAAGGAGGGCTTGGCAGCTTGGACAATAGTGATCCACATCCTGGAGGGCATCAACACAGAAGGGGACGAAACAGCAACCAGCTATGCACCTGCAAAGATAAAACAGCATGCTTCATTCTGCCTTTAATTCATGGCAAGTAACATTCTTCCCAGGTACCAAATGAAAATGGGACAGTGCAGCACTAGAAAGAGCAGTGCAGAGTTTGGCACTGTACTTCACTGTCTTTTAAGCAGGGCTTGTGAACCCTACAGGGGTTCCATTGGTGAGAGCCACTGAGACCCTGCGGTGTCCCATTCACAGGAAGAGTAGCTAACCAAACCCAGCAGGTATGGAAAGACCATAAATCTACGGAAGCTGCTGACAGTTATGCCCAGGATATTCTTGTCCCTCGTGTTAAAGGTCAAAGGGATTCTGAATGATTGGTCAGAGTGGGAGGGTTTGGGGTTTTTTTCGTCCTTTTTACATACATTCAGTGGAAACGTATTTCTGCATAATTAGCTTGTTTAAAAGGCTTTATGTTCATATTTTAATAAAAAGAAGACTGGGAGTTTCCTTTTTGGCTGGACAGAATCACAAATGAGAGCATTACATATTATCTCAACATACCCCAGCAGACAGAGGCTGCCACATGACAGCCAGGTCAGCGCTCCTGCACTGTGCGAGAGACGTGTCACTATCATCTTGTTGCAGGAGGGGCAGCACATCTGAACTGGACGATCATAAAATGTTACCGGCTGCTGCACATACACAGTCTGAACTGTAACTGAGCAAACAAAGAGAAAGGCACTGTTTAAAAAAGGTGTAAAAAGAGAAAATTTCATGTCTCAACCAAAACCCTGTGCATTAAAATACAATCAGTGCTGAGGACACTATGAATTACAAGATAAAAGGAAACCACACTACTGCAATCGATGGAAAAGTATCATGATTTAGGAATAAACCTGGCTTCTAAGCAGTAGAAAGCCAGATGAGGCAGTTATAAGGGATACCTTGAAAACATGCGAGATTCACTCTCACAAATCCTGGGAGACAGGCCAGTCCTTGCCTACAGACAGCCCCCCAAACTGAAGCAAATACTCACCAGCAACCACATACCACACAACAGAACCACTAGCCCAGGAACCTATCCTTGCAACAAAGCCCGTTGCCAACTGTGCCCACATATCTATTCAGGGGACACCATCACAGGACCTAATAACATCAGCCACACTATCAGAGGCTCGTTCACCTGCACATCTACCAATGTGATATATGCCATCATGTGCCAGCAATGCCCCTCTGCTGTGTACATTGGTCAAACTGGACAGTCTCTACGTAAAAGAATAAATGGACACAAATCAGATGTCAAGAATTATAACATTCATAAACCAGTCGGAGAACACTTCAATCTCTCTGGTCACACAATCACAGACATGAAAGTTGCGATATTACAACAGAAAAACCTCAAAACCAGACTCCAGCGAGAGAGTGTTGAATTGGAATTCATTTCCAAATTGGATACAATTAACTTAGGCTTGAATAGAGACTGGGAGTGGCTAAGTCATTATGCAAGGTAACCTATTTCCCCTTGTTTTTTCCTACCCCCCCCCCTTCAGACGTTCTTGTTAAACCCTGGATTTGTGCTGGAAATGGCCCAACTTGATTATCATACACTTTGTAAGGAGAGTGGTCACTTTAGATAAGCTATTACCAGCAGGAGAGTGGGGTGGGGGGAGAGAAAACCTTTTGTAGTGGTAAACACCCATTTTTTCATGGTTTGTATGTATAAGAACATCTTCTGTATTTTCCACAGTATGCATACGATGAAGTGAGCCCTAGCTCACGAAAGCTTATGCTCAAATAAATTGGTTAGTCTCAAGGTGCCACAAGTACTCCTTTTCTTTATGCGAGATTCACTTCACTCTAGTTTCATGTAGTATATATAGTGGAACAAATATGAAGTCTTGTGGCTAAGGAGGAATCTCTCTGCATCATGATTGCTACATGCCTGTACGGCACCTTGATTAGGACCCCAAGTGGAAACTACAGATACAAAACACTGAACAGTATTTCAGACTTACTTGGATTAGGAGCTGGAACAGGTTGTGAAAGATATGGAGGAGGATTCATACTCTTCATGTTCGGTCCATGCCCAGATTCCGGGGCAGGGTAAGGAGGGTAAGTGTTTATTCCTGTTGTCTCTTCATATGTAGGGGGTGCTGATGGGATTGGGTAGCTACTGGGAGCTGGTGGATGGAATGCTGGAGCAGACATTGTGTCTAAAACAAAGCTGGAAAACAGACAACGTACAAGCTATTCAGGGAACAGAAGTTACAGTGCAGGGTGCATTCAGATAACAAGTAAGAAGGTGGCTGGCTGGCAGACAAAACATTTTAATCAGAGTAGTAAGTCTGAGCAGAGTTTTTTTGTTTGTTGTCTTATTTTTAAAGATTTTTAAATTGTTCTTTCTAGTTTATATGGTGCCTCTCCTCATCTGAAAAACCCTATTTCCAGAATAATTTTACAGTTTTTCCCAGCCTTCCTTCTTTTTTAATTGAAGATGCTGTAAAAGGCAGATCCAGCATTTTTACTAACATAGCAGACTAGCAACCTGTCCATTCCATCTCCTGTAGTTTCTCTTATTTGGAGCTCAAACCCTGCAGGGTACTACATGCCATCAACAACTGTTAACAATCAACCACCAAAGACATGCTTAGCACACTGGATTTAACTCAATCCCAGGGCTGCTTCATTAAAATCACGTTTAAAATATGATCCTTGACCTTTCATGGGTTTTCAATTTTACCACACTTGCTGTTTGCCAAAGCAAAGAGTTTTTCACTCAACCTATCTCTTGGGTTTTGTACTGAAAACGATGATGACATTGTAACAATCATATCCATAGGAACAGATGGTCATAAAAATAAATTTATGACATCAGTGTGGAATTGTTATTTCCCTGTACACACCAACACCCCCTCCCATACACACACACACACCCCCTTCTTTTCATGCTGGCCTTACACTAAGGCTATGTCTACACTATTAGACCTTACAGCAGCACAGCTGCAGCTGTAAGGCCTCTTGTGTAGCCGCACAGTCAAGAGAGAGCTCTCCTGCCAACATAATTAAACCACCCCCAATGAGCGGCGGTAGCTATGTCGGCAGGAGACGCTCTCCCACCAACATAGTGCTGTCCACACTGACCCTTCTGTCGGTGAAACATGTATCGGTCGGGGTGTGTTTTTTCTCCACACCTCTAACCAATAAACAGTTTTGCCTATGAAAGTGCTAGTGTAGACAAAGCCTAAATTTTAAGAGTCTTCCCTCTTCTCCTCCCAAAGATTTCTGAAGATTCATCTATTACACCAAACATCCCAGCTATAACAGCCTTCTAGTCTATATTTGTTCCGAGTCGCTGTACTGAGTGTCTACACTGAAGCACTGCAGCACTGTAGTAATTTAAGTTGAGCCATAGGCCAAGTTGCACAAACACTTAATTTGATTTCAAGAAGGGGAAAGGATGATCACCCTCTTTGGTAATGTGTCATGAGAGACAGGGCTTTGTAGCATCTTTGTGTGGCCAAGGATTTTTCCATTTCCTGCCGAATGTGTGTGTGGATAAACTATTTTTCATTCAGCTCTATCAAACTATAATTTAAGAATTTTACACTTGTGTTTTTTGAGGGAAAAAGTTTTATATGGACTATTTCAAAAGTTGATAATTTCTGGACCTTCTGAATAAATTAAGGCCCCAATCCAGAACAAGCTCCATGGAGACAGATCCCTGTGCCCACACAGAGCTCACTGCTAGATTGGGGCCTAAAACTATTTGAAATCCCAATGGCCTCATACAACTGACTGCTGCTAAGAGACTTTCCTACCTCTGAAACTGGTGAGTCAGATAATCAGATGTTAACTGAAAAAAGTCGATAAAGTAGCTGACATTAATACAAACCATGATTAGATGCTAATTAGAACACTGAGCTCATGGCAACAGTTTCAACAGCACTTTTTCAATATTCCATTTTAGCTCGAACTAGACTGGGCTGTCACATGGATTACTAATACAGTCTACCAATGCTCAGCACTACTTAGACATTGCATGTAAGTTCAAGGACATCAATGACACGTAAAGATTTTTTAAATTTTCCCTTTTTTCTTAAAGGCCAGGAAGGCCTAAAGCAACTACACATACTTTAAATGCTTCAAAATCCAGAAGTGGGAGCGGAAGCTTGATTGTGAGAAACGAAGATGAAGGTAAGTGGGAGTGCATAGGAAGGATAGGGAGAGGTTTTAATTAACTGCTGTTCAAAATCAAGCCAACTCAAGCCATGTTAAAATCAGATCCTATATAGCCTTCCTGAATTAGAACAACATTTTAAAAGCTATTTGTATTTTGGGGGGAAGCTTATTATCTAAAAAGAGCATACAAAAAGAGTCTCTCCGGAGAGAAGAAAAATAAACACCAGTTTTGGTTTGAACAAAACCTTAACAGACTTTGTGGGTTAAGTTAAACAGGAACAAGGCCCCCTTATTCCAGAATAAGAGAGTGTTCACATATGGAGTTGCTCAGGAACAGCTCTTCCTTCATGTGTAAATGCACACCAATGACATTTAAGTGTCATGTTCTTATTCTGTTTACTGTTGCCCATTACTGGGGCTTTAGATACATAAACAGAATTTGCTCCCCCTTTAGTCTTTCAGGGGCCTTGTCTATATTCAACGTTGGATTAAAAAGTTTAAAAATTGCTTTGGTTTAAAAGAACAATATAATAAAAAACTTGTGAAAAACCCTGACTGTGCACTCAATTTGATTCAAACCTTCTAGCAAATGGGCTTCATTTAAAAAAAAAAAAAAAGTATCCACCCACTGTTGTGAACAGTGTTGCAGTGGTTTTATTAACAGATTTAATTAAACAAAAAGCCACACATCTTTAGTTAAACCAATGTATTTTTGAATGCTTGCCTACTGCAACAAAAAATAAATATCATGGTAGTAAAAACTGATATGAATAAAGTTTGAAGGGACAGACTATAAACAGAACAAAATCTGATAGCCTCAAGATAGGCATCCATTTCTTGGGGTTTATTCATTAAGCTTGACTTAGATGGAAGCTGGACATTATGATTTTCTCTGTCGTTGCTGTTCACCAGTTCACATGGCCTCATATCAATAAAAGCATTCATCAGTTTCACATGGACGTAGTATAACACCTCTGGATATGCTACAAAACATGTGGTATAGCAGGTCTTTAGTAGGTCAGGTAGGTGCAATTGAGAAATCTCAAAGCCCATACATTCCTCAGAAAATAATCTTGCAGATCCTATAGCAGGGGTGGGCAAACTTTTTGGCCCAAGGGACACATCTGGGTATGGAAATTGTATTGCGGGCCATGAATGCTCAAGAAAATGGGGTTGGGGTGCAGGCTCTGGGGTGGGGCAGGGGATGAGGAGTTTGGGGTGCAGGAGGGTGCTCCAGGCTGCACCCAAGGGGTTCAGAGGGTGGGAGGGGCAGGGCTGGGGCAGGGGGTCAGGCTCTGGGGGGCACTTACCTCAAGCAGCTCCCAGAAGCAGCGGCATGTCCCCCCTCCAGCTCCTATGTGGAGGCACATGCTGCCCTGTCTGCAGGCACCGCCCCTGCAGCTCCCATTGGCCACGGTTCCCAGCCAATGGGAGCTGTGGAGGTGGTGCTTGGGGCGGGGGCAGTGTGTGGAGCCCCCTGGCTGCCCCTATGCATAGCAGCCCGAGGGGGGACATGCTACTGATTCTGGGAGCCACGCAGAATGGGGCAAGACCCCTACCCTGCTCCCCGGCTGGAGCGCCAAAGTGGAGCAAACCCCAAACCCCGCTCCCCAGCGGGAGCTTGAGGGCCTGATTAAAATGTCAGGAGGGCTGGATGCAGCCCCGGGCTGTAGTTTGCCCACCCGTCCTATAGCATATGTTGAAAGCCAATAACTAGAAGCAATACCTTGAAATTTAGGACCTCAATATTTGAGGAAACTGAACTGGGTGGCTGGTCAATTTATCTGGAAGTTTTTCCATTTCATTAATACTCAGTTTCAGATTTATTTTAAGTTTTAACATTGTCCTGTGTGATATATTCTATTAATTGATTTTTCTAATATTTGGTCAAACACTTGCAGATCCTGAGTCCTCTTCAAAACCCACATGAAGAGCCTGTACACCTGCAGTAACCTAACTCAGTCAAGGCAATATGGTCCCTTTTACATGGCCAGCCAACGGTGTGACTTTTGGAAGTGAGATTGCCTTCAAACTCAGTGATCAATTTAACCCAATGCTCATAAACACAAAATGGTGTTAACACAATTAATTGAGATACATTATCAGGATATAAACCAAACAAGCTACCAATTAGCTACCTAAGGATTAACAGTATGCTTCATCCAGAGATAATGCTAAATACTTGGCTTTTATGAAGGGCATTTTATCCAAAGGTCTTAGAGTACTTTTACAAACATTACATCTCATAGCACCTGTGACATGTATTATAGTCATTTTACAAATAGGTAAATTGAGGCTCCAAGTAGTACAGATATGCCCACACTTAATTCAGATTTTGCGTTTATTTGATCGAAACCATAGGGACAAAACTATCTGTGTTACAAATAATTCAGCCTCCTTATATTGATCAAGCTACAGGAAGTTGGTAATTAAATTCTGGCTAAAATTCTGCACAAGATAGATGCAACAGCCCAAGAAAATCCACGCGATAATACACAATCAGAAGTTGCATTGTTCAGATGCTATAATTATGTAGCATAACAGAGCCCAGATGAAGTAATATAGGGATTTTTTTAAAAGTGGATCAGGTTTGTAAGAGATTTGATATCACCAACCTCAAGATAAAAATATATGGTGAACAAGCAAATTAATATACCCTGACTGTGGATACTCTATACAGCTTCCCTTTCTGTATTATCATAGCACCTAGAGGCCTCCAAGCCATGGACCTAGATTCAACAAAGTCTGATTCCAGGTGCTTAGCCAGTGACTACCACCAGCTCAGTGGTTTGACTTTCTTTAAAAGATCAGCAGCAATCATGCACTGCTTAATACTTTATTTAAATTTTAATAGATTATAGCACACCACATAGGGCAAGAAAAATATTTACACTAGCAAAGACCTGCAATAAGAGAACTAAAGACATTGTTCTCAAAGTCATTGCTGATGAAAGTGGAAACATGCGCAATGAGAACCAGATTAAGGAACAGTGGAGAAGTTACTTTAAAAGGTTATGTATGAAGAGACTCCTGCCGATGATAAAA